TTATTGTGTATAATAATATATATATATATATATTATATTACTTATTAATTAATTATTATATATATATATATATATATATATATATATATATATATAGTGCACATGGGCCCACCATGTGGGTATTAGGTGGGGCCCCACATACCATACATGGGTGGCATGCCCCACCCGTGGATACCTTATCTTGTTTCTTTGACATCAAGTTTGTTAAATATGGTAACTACATCTTGTAACATGTAGTCAAATATTGATTAGGACATATCGACCATATCTTATCTTGATTATTGAAGGAATATATTGACTTGATATTATTAAAATATTCTTATGGAAATATGAGATGAAATATGCAATTTATGGTATGCGCTATATCTGTAATGGATTTAATTTATTTAAATATATTGATGGGAAAATGATTTAAGGAAAGGGGGATAATGATTCATGCACCTTCCATAATGTTGATAACCCATCTATGGAATGGATGGCTCAAATCTCACTCTACAAGTCATTTTGATCAACGGTCTATATTCAATCTCAAGAAAGAGGCAAACTATGGGAAACCCTAAAGAAACCCTAGACCTAAATTTCACTATAAATAGGGGTGCTCTCTCTCATCTAACACACCTCTCTCTCTCTTTTATAGGGGCCACGCCCCTCTCTCTCTACTCTCTTATTTTCTCTCTCTCCTAAAAAGGCCCCTCTCTCTACTCTCTTATTTTCTCTCTCCTAAAAAGGACCCTAAGAGGCACGCCCCCAACATAGAGAGTCTCTCTCTTTCTCTCTCATGATCTCTCTCTCATGATCTAATCTAAGGGTTGAGAAAATTAGGGTTTGAGCCTAATTATTTTGGAGTTAGGGTTTTGTAGAGATTTAAGGGTGGTTATCCAGTTTGGCAGAAATTAGCTTTCCCAATTAGATATTGAAGCTGGACCGCTGATCCCATGCCATTGGATGTGGTGACTCGGTGTAAGGTGTAAAAAGCCCGGTTAAAGTAATCTCATGCATCTTTTCTTTTAATTGTTTGTTCTTTTATATTACATTCTCAAGCACAATATTAGGTTGCATGAATGACATCAAGTAGTTGAGATTTATTTTATTGATGTGTTATTTAATTTTTGGAATTTCTATTATTTGTAAAAAGACCATCATTGAGTGATCTTTTTGCAAAATTATAAGGGGTGATTATTATTATTATTTTTTAAAAAAATTGTATTTCTTCGGCAAAAGATTACATAGGTCTTTCTTTCAGGGTTCAGGTCCAAAATATGAACGAATTCTATTCGGATCTGGATTTGGGTCTGGGTTTAACCGAACCTGACCCAAACCCGACCCATATATGGGTATTCATAAATGTTGCCAATATGTTTGTTTTTTAGGAAAATAGTAGGGAATGTGGGTATTTAAAAATGTTGCCAATAATATGGGTAGATGATGGTAAAAAAAAATCAAGCTTTGTATGCTTCCGCTATGGCATAAAACTTATATGCTTCCCCTATCTAACCATTCATTCTAAATGGACAATTGAGATGACATAAAATCTCAATGTCACTCGACATTATTTTATTTTTAATTTTTTTACAAACTATTTTGACACCAAAATTTGGGCATCCACTCCTCTCTTAAATTCGCACTTGTGAAAATATAGTAAAAATATTTTAAATAAAATAAAATGAGCAAATAACTCAGAAAGTTTTAAGAAGTATTTTGGTCATCATATTATGTGGTTTATAGAAAAAATTAAAAATAAAATACTATGAGGCGTCAGATCTAGATCAAATGATCAATGACACTCTTGATCTAAACTGGCCTACTGGATGAGGGGAACATATATCTTCTATGCGGGGAGCATATATCTTCTATGCAGTAGGGGAAGTATAGAAACCTCTTCCGTAAAAAGAACAAGGCAAAAAGAAAAAAAAAAAAAGAGCTTATAATCATAGGATAGCAATTAACGGGATCATACCCGACCTCGGTCAGGGTATCGGTCCAAAATTTGGACCTAAATGGTCGGGTTCGGGCCAAAATCCGGACCTGAATACTATTCGGGTATGGACCCGGGTCCACCTGTTGCCACCGCTATTTACAGGGGTTGTAAGGCATCCAAAAGCTTCAAAGCTTTTTAAGCCGTCGTCTCTCTCCCTCATTCTCTCTAAATCCATTTGCAGGGGCATTGAATATCTAAAGCTCTATAAATCTTCTCTCTCTAAATTCATTACCAAGGGCATCGAGTCTCTAAAGCCCTACGGAATCCTCTTTCTATCTCTAATTCCATTTGTAGCAAGATTGAAGCTCCAAAGCTCCACAAAATCATTTTCTCTCTCTAAATCTATTTACGGTGGCGTCAAAGCTCCAAAGCTCTGTACAATAATCTTCACTTTCTAGAATGCACTCAATTTGGATGTGGAGTGAGTGAGTGATAAGATCAAGAACTTGATCTCCTTTTTCTGTGGGATTTTTTGTTCTTGTAGTTTGTTCTCAGTCTTAAAAATTTATTTTTGAGGGGGATTTTTGTGCCCAATTTTTAATAACATATAAAACCTAATGTGGAGATCTTGAATATGGAAAAAAAAAAAAAGAATTAAAAATTAAAAATAGTAATTTTATAAAGAAAATTTTGGACAGTTTGTTTTAACTGTTTTTAGATAGTGAAAAAGTTCCCTCATATGCTTAAGTGTGAGAATATTTTCATATCAATTAGTCCTAGTGTATCTTTTCACACCAATTAGCAATTAATTGTTGAGAAAATATTCCCATATCTAATCAGATGAATGAATTTTGCACATGAAAATATTTCTTGAGAAATACTTTTCCTGCGAACCAAACATGCTACTTTTTAGTATTATTTTCTACTACTCTTTCTTATTATGGTTAAGCTAATGAATGCACAATTCTTCAAAATAAGTGGGTTTGTTTTTAAGGCTGATGTACAAATGGGAAGCTATTTCCGCTTTATGTTTTTTTATATGGACATGGTTTTTATGAATCCACGTAGAAATTTGTCATTTCTTAAAAATCTATTTTTGAGATGGATTTTTGGACTTAATTTTTAATGACATTTAATTTCTAATATGGAGATCATGAATGAAAAATAAATAAATTTGTAAAATTAAAAATAAGAATTCTATTAAAAAAACATGTGGACCATTAATTTCAATTGTTTTTAGATGAACCACATGTTTGTATCCATATTTAAGATGGATGCTTTATACCTCTGGACCGCATATATAAAAATGTGGTCCAACCCGCATGAAACAATTTTCATTTTTGTATATGCTTTGTGACATGCCGGGAAGAAACTCCGCTCCTTATACATTCTAGAAGTTTTGAAGTAGGGATTCACCATCAAACATGCACAAGGAAATATATATAAGAATGAAACTAATAAAAAAATTACAGAAGGGTAGCAAAGCCTTCAGTAATATTTTTAAATTTCTCTTGCTCAATATTAAAATGTTGGTTTATCAAAGAGACCCTCGTTTCTTTGTTTATCATCACTCTCGCTTTATTCCTAATTCATTTAGGAAAAGTATACAATAAAACTATTTATCTTTGATACGAGGTGGTCACAATTAATCTTGACCATTGGATGTGAAATTAGATGGCTGCATTTATTCCATTGATCATGCTCAAACTTCAAAAGAAATTTTTTCGAACTTTGTGACATATCCAAGCTATCAGATTTCACATAAGATAGTTGTGCATAATTGTGACCACATTGTATAAAAGGTAAATGGTCTCATTATATACAATCCCAAAACTATTAAGATTTTAAATTCTAAAAAAAATATATATTGCAACAAATCATCTAGACCGTCAATTTCACCCTAAAAACAAGTTTTTATAGATCTGCAAGATTTGTACCATTTTTTTGAGTTTCAAATTTTATTGTCTGTATTGGAAATTGATTTTAGAGCGGTCATAGAGATTTTTGAAGCCGAAAGTACTTTATGAATGAAGATTTGAGGTGATGCTTCATTTTGTTTTCATAGAGCCTAGGCCCTATGTAAACCTCATCGTTCATTTAGGTACTTTTTTATTTTCATTTAAAGAAAGGGGTTGTATACAATAATACCAAAATTTGAAACTAAAAAACGGTATAAATCTTGTGATCCATACACTTACTTTTAGGGTGAAATAGGAGGTCTAGATGATTTGTTGTAATATATATTATTTTTATAATTTAATATCCTAATTGTTTTTTATACAGCCATAATGTTCAAGCTAAGATGATCCATTTATGAGTTTTTCAATACTTAAATTGTAATTTTTGATAGGTTATGAGGTTATATTTTACTTATTGTCACAGTGATGCAGTCCTATCAAACCATTTTTTTTAAATAAATGAAATTATATACAATGATACCATTTAACTTGTATTCAATTGAATACTTTTTCCTAAACGAAAACAAAGGGCCTCAAAACGAGAGAGAGAGAGGAGGTGATGGATGCAGCATTCACAGTGGAAACCCAAGCTTCAACTTCTCCATATCACAGCAGCTGCAGGCGGGTTCTTCAACTGAAATCTCATTTTTTACCGTCTCTTTATATCTATCTATCTCAATGTGCTCCTCCCTTGTTCCGCAGACGCCAAGAAGGAGAAACCCTTCGCCAGTACTACGTGGCCGTGGACAGGCTCCAATTCAAGATGGTACCTCTCTCTCTCTCTCTTATCTATCAAATGAACCTGATAGATTAACTATTTAACGTTTCACCATCCAACAATCTGCAACAATTTATGAACTATGGTGATGTAAAGGTTGATGGGATATTTGAAATTTAACATTTCACCATCCAACAATCTACAACAATTTATGATCTATGGAGATGTAAACGTTGATGGGATATTTGAAATTTGATCAGAAGATGAAATTTGGTTAAAAGAACCGGATGCGACATTAAATAGTTCAACTCTTAGATGTTATCTAGTCTTCATTAGTTATGATATGGTTCATGTTTGGTTCCAAATGCTTTCTCTACTGACAATTGGTTCAGTTATGATCTGAAATGGTTAATGCAATGCCTCCTTCCAATATTTCCTCTTCGATACAAGGAAATTGCGAAGGCTATTAATCTGCAAGATTTCAAACGTGATTATTTAGAAATCTGCTATCTGTATTATTGCTGACCGGTGCAGAGATGGAGTAATAGAAGTTCAATGATAAGATGGTGCATGTTGATAACAACGATTTAGAGAGGAACATAAGTAGGATGGAACTGATAGTGGTTTTCTACCTAAAATTAAGTTAGTTGCTTATTTGATGGTACCAACAATGTTTGTAGATTCGGCTGTGTCCACTCCGACTCGGCCTATGGCCGTGTGATCGAGTTCTGAGGGACAACTTGCTCCTTTTAAAAAAATAATTAAATATGTCATTAGTTTTGTTAAAAAATCTTCATAGATTATCTACTTTTAAATATTTTATGCAGTTTTTAAGATGATTTAGGAAATTTTATTATTGCATGCTCGAATGTTTTATTTTTTTTTGAAACATTTCAAAATCATCATCATCATCATCCTCAGAGTATTTTTCAAACTATTTGGGTTCAGCTACATGAATCTTGGTCTGCCATTTTTCTTTAGAGCTTGCCCTCAGTGAGGCCATAGGTCCCCATATCTCTTCACACTACTTCTAATCACGCCCTTCTGGGCTACCCCTTGCTCTTTTTGAGCTTTCTATTTGAACAAACTGGCACCTCCCAACAGGTGCTGTACTGGTCCTACGTTGCACATGGCTAGCCCACCTAAGTCTACTTTCTCTCTTCTTATTGCCTATTGGAGCCACACCTAAAGTCTTTCGAATGTATTCATTTCGAATTCTATCCCTTCTTATCTTGCTAATCATCCATCTCAACCATTCTCATCTTAGCTGCACTCATCTTATGAGTATGTTGCTTCTTGACTGCCCAACATTTTGTCCCATGATGCAAAGTTGGTCTTTAAGCTGTCCTATAGAACTTGCTTTTTAGCTTTATTAGTATGTGGCGATCACATAAAACTTTGGTTGCATATCTCCACTTCACCAACAAAGCTCTAATTTTATGTACGACATCTTCCTCAATCTCTTCATTTTTTTAGATTATCGATCCAAGATATCGAGAACACGCTATTTTTGATAATTTTTGGCCATCAATCTTAATTACTCCCTCGTCTCTACTCTTATTATTACTAAACTTGCATACCATATACTCTCGTCTGAGTCTCGCTAATTTTAAAACCTTTAGATTCTAGAGCATCCCTTCAAAGTTCTAACTTTGTGTTGGTGCCATTTCGGGTCTCATCGATCAAAACTATATCGTTAGCGAACAACTTACACCATGGTACCTCATTTTGTAGGTGCCTAGTTAAGTCGCCCATAATTAAGACAAAGAGGTATGAGTTCAACGTTGATCCTATGATGTAGATCTATTGTCACTGAAAACTCGCTTATCTCTCCACTAATTGTTTGCACACTAGTTACCGCTCCCTCGGACATATCTCTCACAAACTCGATGCAGTATCTAGCGACTCCTTTATTTTCCAACACCTACCAAATTAAATCTCAAGGTAAGCTTTCTTGCACATATCTCTCACCAGTCCATTTATTTCCTCTCAAAATTGTCATTTAATTATATCATCTAACCCTACTTTTGGTGCATAGGCATAAATTACAGTAATTATATCTCTTCCCCTAGTACAAGTTGAATTAATAATAGTCTATTACCTACTCTCTTGATATTAGCTACTTTAGTTTTTAATTCTTTGTCTATTATTGTGCCTATGCCGTTTCTATTATTATCCCTTCCTATATACCAAAGTCTATACCCATCTATTTCTTTAGCTTTTTCCTCTTTCCACTTAGTTTCCTGTAGATGAACGATGTTTACTCTCATTCGATCCACTAGCTCCATACTTTTACTTATAGGCGTTCCTACATTCCATGTAGCTAGATGAATTCAGTTCTCTTGGACTAGTTTCTTTACGTGCTCTCATCCATAATGTCGTGGGAACCCTTGCCTATTTATCATTGCAACCAGGTGGCACTATGACACGTCGCTTCTGGGGGATTCCTTGGCTAATTGTACCCAGGTTCTGGTATAGTGCGTCTCTTGCAGAGAACACCCTAGCATAAGCATATATCATAGATTCAGGATTTATGAAAAGCTTTGACAAAGTTTTATGTTGGCTCCCTACTTAACATAATGCACCTCCTTTACCCGGGTTTGGGATGGGTGAAGGGAAAATTTAAGGTCTTCATCCTTCTTATATAATCCATCTTTTATATGCTTTTACGAATTTTGTAGTCTTTTAATTATTTTTATTACTTAATTTGCGTTTTTGTTGATTCTTAATATTTTCAAAATTGTTACATTTTTTTTGTTTTTATTGGTTGTTTTTGACTTATACATTACTCGGCAGAGTCCCATTCATACTTGGCAAGTTATCCACCTCAGGCCAAGATCAAGTCGAGGCAGGTTATAAAACATTGGGTAGCAAATTTGGTTTATGTTTATCTAATGGTACTGAGGTATTGTTTAATTTCCGGGCCGAATTGCAATTTGGACCAATTTGATAAATTTTCACCCACAATTTGACCACATTGGGTGTTCAATTTCCAAATTTGAATTGATTCCCGCTTCAAATTGGACTTCTAAATTTATTTATTTATCTATTTACTTTTTGGAAAAATGACCCCAAGTTGTTTTTGAAGTTGTTGGATTCCAAGGTGAATTTAGAAAACAACGGAAAGATAAAAATTGAGGAATAAGATAGAAATTACATACCTTTTTGGATTCCGATTCCTCCTGTGCGGCTGATACTATATTTTTTAGGTTCTGCCTTTTGCACGCCTCTTCTGATTCAAGAGTTTGATGTTGCAACCCTAAGTTGACTTTCAATTGCTAGAACTGAAAGTTCAGTATACACAGTTCAAATCCCCAAGCCATTTGATGGAGATGGCCTTAGAGATCTCATGTTGGTTTATGGGCACTTGTTTTTAGAGAGAGAGAAACTTACTTTATATGAGAGAGAAAAGCCAAAACGAGGAGTGAGAGTCACGTGAGGAAAAGGATGCACCCCTTCTCTCTATATTCCCTTTTATATAAGTGGTCCCACCTTTGAAGATTCCCTTATCATGAAAAGGGTTATCACTTATTTCTAAGTCAATATCTTCAAGATATTTTGGATTTTGTCATTATCCAAAATATTCCACCAAATCTCATATCTCCTTATCTGATTAATCAAAGCCCCAAATTCCAAAAAGGTCCTCCCACTTAGTACGCCTGTGGCTCTCGCTTTTACTTTTTTTGTTGCACTTGGGGCTACCACTATTATAGTGCAGCCTCAAAACTTCTAAGGGGCATAACTCTTCATTCGAACATCCACTTTTATGAACCTTATATATTTTTGGGGCAGTTTGGAAAGTCGAACACAACCAATAGGGTCTTGTCTACTGATTGTGCTCATAAAACTTTGTTTTGGCCCTGGAAATATCTTTTTATCCCCATTTGCTGTTTCTTGTGTTCCTTCGATGCCGCTGGTTTGTTAGTAATCTGGCTGTATGTCACATCAGACTGTGGATTTGCAATCAATTTGCACTTCTTATTGGAATTTCGCATCGAAGATGTGACAAATTCCATGATGATGTGGATCAAGAGTCTTGCGCTTCAGATCTGACCTGATGCTGATTACTAGCCCCTTGCCCTTATCTGACTGTGCAAAATTTTCGCTTTAGGTTGTTTTGGAAGTAATGTTTGATACAATGATACATTATGTGATTGCACCACCGTGTGTAAAGAAACAAATTTACCATGATATCTCCTTTTTCTTCATGAGTAGAGATTGCCAAGGTCTCAAAAAATGTGATTGCTGACCTCCTTAGAGGGGAAAAACTGGGTGTTAATAGCTACGCATGGCATAGAAAAATCCAGTATCTCTACTTAATGAGCATGGTGTGCTGGAACACTTAACCTCCAGTCTCGACCTTCTTGAGGAAGGGAACTCAGCCCAAGTGTGTCGTATATGGAGGCTTATGAGATGTGGCTCAAGAGGTTCCATTATGCATCCTTCACTTTGTTGAATGGCATGCATAATGACCTAATTGGCCAATATGAGACCTATCCGACTGCTAGGGAGATGTGGAATGCTCTGCAGCTTCAATTCGTTGGTACCTCAACTATTAAGAAGCAAGTGCTCATGATGGTATTCAATGATTCAAAACGTATAAAATGTTGCCAAATGTCTTTGACGGAGCATTTGAGGAAAATGTCACAGATGATTCGTGACCCGAGCATTACTGGAAATATTTTGAATGATAAGCAACTTATTTTAGCTGTTCTTCAATCGCTCCCTTCTTCTTGGGAACAGACGAGGATCCTGATGACGCATGATGTTGATGTTAATGTTAAGACTCTTGTAGATCTATTGCCCCACTTCCACTTACACTTGGTAGCCTCAGCTTTCTCTTCCTCTTTTTTAGGAGGAGCTTCACCCTTAGGCTTGCCTTTGATTTCTTACCACCCTTGGGCTTACTAGGCAAGATCGGCCTTGACTTGCTTCAGCTGCAAGAAGACCGGCTACTTCCCTTGTGAGTGCACTGAGTTGAAGAAGGTATGAACCTATCACACCTTTGCTTTTGCTAGTGTTTGTGCAGGGGTACTAGTTGCTCAGTCGCCGTCTACTGATTCAATTGTGGATTCAGGAGCGACAAAAACACTTAACAAAGGATGAAGGCGGGTTCATGGGAATGGGAGGCGTGAAGATCTTCATAAGAAACAATGATGCTAAAGATGTGGTGGGCATGGGGACCCATTGTTTGCAGTTTCCATCTGGTCATACCTTGCTTCTCCATGCTGTGCTCTACACTCCTAGGATGAGGAGGAGCCTACTACCAGTACCTAAACTTTCTTCAGAAAGACATTTTGTTTCTTTGTTAGATAATAGGGTTAAGATTGAACTCAAGGATGGTTTTATTTTTGATGGTTTCCTTCATGATAGATTATTTACTTTGGATTTGAAAGATTCCTTTTGCTATTCATCTTCTCTTTTTAATAATACATCCCCTCTCTCTCTTTCTTATTCTGCTGTGCGTGATAATGATTTTATGTTATGTCATGCAAGATTGGGTCATGTAAGTAAAGATGGGATGAAAAGACTAATTAGAAAATGGCTTAAGGGAAGTTAACCAAAGTAAACTTACCCACGTGTGATGTGTAATGGGAAAATCCACTAAGAAATATTCCCTAAAGCTCAAAGATCAATAAAACCCTTAGAAATCATTCATTCAGACATTTGTGGTCCCTTTAATGTGAAGGCATGCGACAAATCCTAGTCATCATCATCGTAGCCTTTTCCCAATTAATTAGGGTCAACTACATGAATCCTAGTATGCCATTATACTCTATTAAAGGCCATACTTCAGTGAGGCCATAAGTCCCCATATATTTTTGGACTATCTCCAACCACGTCCTTTTGGGCTTACTCCTAACCCTTTTCAAGCCTTCTACTTAGTGTTTCAAAAAACGCTAGGCAGCACCTAGGCGGCCGGGGGAGGTTCCAGGCCGCCCAATGTTGAGGCGGGTGCTTAGAACCTGGGCGGCCCAGTAGAAAGAAAAATGTCTCTATAGTCTAACAATATAAGTATAACTGTATAACACATAAGAGTTAGGGATTTAGGACATATCAAATGTATAGTACACAAGTCCACATAGCACACACTTCTCCATAGTCTATAAGTTCATAGTCTGATAGTCCACTAAATCTAATATCAATGGGTGATGCTTAGATTAATTTCTCGTAACTTTGAGAAACCCTTCGATCCTATAAAAATCATCAAAAACTAGTTTTTAGGGTTTTTCTCTCTCTAAAATAGGCTCTAATGGGGTTTAGGTTTCAAATGAACCTAAAACCCATGATTTTGCCCCTTTAATATTAAAAAAAAGGCCAAAAAGTACCCTAAATGAGGGACATTTCTGCCCCTGGGTAGGGTGCAGGCCCTAGGCGCCAGCCTAGGTGGGTTCCCTGGCACTTAGGCGGGCGCCCAGGGACAGCTTGCCTAATTTGGCCACTTAGGCCTGGGCGAGGCGCCCAGGCCTTCTAGACCGCTTAGGCGGCCGCCTGGGCGATGGGCGGTCAGCTTTTTAAAACAATCCTTCTACTTGAACTAACTCGCATCCTAACAGGTGCTGTACTACGTCTGTACCACACATGGCCAGCCCACCTAAGGCTATTCTTTCTCATCTTATCGCTTATTGGTACCATACGTAAATTTTTCTGAATGGATTCGTTTCGAATTCTATCCCTTCTTGTCTTGCCACTCATCCATCTGAACATTCTCATCTCCGCTACACTTTATTCTATGGGTGTATTGTTTTTTGTCTACCCAACAGTTTGCCCCATAGAGCAAAGCTGGTCTCACGACTGTTTTATAGAACCTTCCCTTCAACTTCATTGGTATGCAGTGATCACATAAAATTTTGGTTGTGCATCTCCACTTCACGAACCTAATTTAATTATGTGTGCGACATCTTCCTCAATTTCTCCATTTTCTTGGATTATCGACCAAAGATATCGAAAGTTGCGGTCTTTTTGGTACTTCTTGGCTGTCACTCTTAACTACTACCTCGTCTCTACTCCTATTATTACTAAACTTTCATTCCATATATTCTTGTTTCGTCTGGCCAATTCAAAACCTTTAGATTCTAGAGCATTCCTCCAAAGGTCTAACTTTGTGTTGACGTCGTTTCGGGTCTCATCGATCAAAACTATGTCATCTGCAAAGAACATGCACCACGTTACTTCATCCTGTAGATGCCTAGTTAAGTCGTCTACAGCTAAAACAAAGAGATACGGGCTCAATGCTGACCCTTTACGTAGACTTATTGTTACTGAAAACTCACTCATCTCTCCACTAGTTGTTCGTGCACTAGTAAGTGCTTCATCATACGTATTTCTCACCAAGTCGATGTAGTGTTTGGAGACTCCTTTTTTTTCCAATACCCACCAAATCAAATCTTGGGGTACTCTATTAGAAGCTTTCTCTTGATCAATAAAGACCATGTGGAGGTGGTTTCCCTTCGTCCTAAACTTCTCAATCAGTTGCCTAAGTAGGAAAATAACCTCGGTTGTTGATCTGCCTGACATAAAACCAAATTGGTTTTTAGATACATTTGTTTCATGCCTTAGTCGTTGCTCAATCACTTTCTCCTAAAGCTTCATAATATGGTTCATAAGCTTGATCCCTCGATAGTTCGTCCAATTTTGTATATTTCCTTTGTTCTTATAAATAGGTACCACAATGCTTTTCTTCTATTCGTTTGATATTTTCTTTGTTCTCAACATTTTGTTGAACAACTTCGTCAGCCAGTTAATGCCAATCTCCCCCGTGTACTTCCAAACCTTTATCGGGATACCATCTGGTCTTAAAGCCTTTCCCATCTTCATCCATTTTGAAGGTTCTTTCACTTCTGATATCCTAATCCTACGAATGTATCTATGACCTCCGCCCTCATTTATACCAACAGTTCCATCTACCAATATGGTCCTATTTTGTTCGTCATTTAATAATTTTTTAACATAAACTCTCCACCTTTCGTTGACCTCTTCATCCTTCCCATTGTGATCCTCACTCTTAATGCATTTAATATGGTCTAGATCCTTACACTTTTTTCTCTCTCATTTTTGCTAATTTGAAATTTTTTTTTCACCTTTTCTTGTTCATAGCTTACTGTATAGATTATTATATGCCATAAGTTTACCCTTACTTACAATTTGTTTAGCATTTTTCTTTGCATTTTTATATCCTTCAAAGTTTTGATTGTTTCTATTGCACTGCCAAGTTTTATAACATGATTATTTTTCTCTAATGGCCTTTTGAACTTCATCATTCTAGCACCAAGTTTCCTTATCGTAATTTCTTTTCCCTCTAGATTATCTTAAAACTTCTTTTGCTACTTTCTTAATACAGTCAGCCATCTTTTTTATATAACATAACCTCTTGTTCAGAGTTCTATTTTTCTTGCTTTAACTAATTTATCCCTAAATAAGTGTATTTTCTCATTTTTTAAATTCCACCACTTAGTCCTTGAACACCCATTACTTTCACCCCTTCTCTTCCATGTCTTTATGCAGTTGTCTATAATCACGAGCCTATGTTGCGTAGTCAAACTCTCTTCTGGGATAACCTTGCAGTCTTTACATGATGGTCGGTCTACCTTTTTAACTAGGAAGAAGTCTATTTGACTTTTATGCGGTCCACTTTTATAGGCTATTAGATGTTCATCTCTCTTTTTAAAGTAAGTGTTTACAATTGCTAGGCCGTAGGCTATAGCAAAATCTAGAATAGTCTCACCCTTCTCATTTCTTTCCTCGAACCCATGTACCCCTTCATATCCTCTACTATCCTTCCCTACATGATCGTTTAAGTTTCCTCCTAAGAAGGTCATCTCTCCATTTGATATATCTTGGACTATTCCATCCATGTATTTTATCAATTTCATTGATGATTACTCATACTATGTTTATGTGTACTTAAACTTACATAAATCTCATGCAATTGATTACTTTCAGAGATTTAAGTTGGAGGTTGGGAATCAGTTAGGGAATAGGATTAGGATTCTCAGAACTGATTTGGATGTGTATACTTCTGAGTTGTTCAGAAAGTTCTAAAAAGAACATGGGATTCATTGGCAAAAAACGATGTTCTATATTCTATAGCAAAATGGTGTGTTGTCGAGAGAAGGAATCGTGCTCTAATGGATATGGTGAGGTCCATGATGGGACAGGCGAATCGTCCTGTGAAGTTTTGGGGAGATGTTTTCTTTACCATTGTGTACATCTTGAATGGGGTGCCTTTCTAAATTTGTCCCTAAAACCCCTTATGAGTTATGGACGGGTAGAAAGCCTAACCTGTCACACTTACAACTAGGGTTTGTACATATACCAGCTCAATCGACCAGCAAACTAGATAAGAGGTCAATTGGTGTATTTTCATAAGGTATCCTGAAAACTCAAAAAGGTATGTCCTATATTATGAATCTGAAGAGGGTGGTTTAAGAGATGTTGAATCCAACGATGTGGACTTCATTGAGACGAAGTTCCCTAGTAGGAAGAGGTGTAGGATGGCACTAGACCTATATGAGATGGTTGATACTCATGTGGAGAGTGGTGAGGAAATTCCTCCACTAATAGATAATAATAGGAGGATTCCATGATCATTGAGGACAATGGGAGTAAACCTCCATTCATACTTGAACCTTGTAGGAGTGCACGTGGTAGAGTTCCCCGGAGACATTTTGAGATCAAGAGAAAGGTCTAACCTGCATCTTTGTTGATGAGGATGAACCAGGTTCATATCAAGAAGCATTGAGTTTACATGATGTAGGCAAGTGGGTTGCCACAATGGATGAAGAGATTAGTTCCATGAAGAAGAACTGAGTCTGAAAACTCGTGGATCTTCCTCCTGGCAGAAACCCCATTGGGAACAAGTGGGTCCTGAAATTAAGAGAAAGGTCGATAGAACTATGGACAAGTACAAATCTTGTTTGATGGCAAAAGGGTTCACCCAGGTTGAAGGTGTGGACTATGATTAGACATTCTCCCCGGTGGCGAGAATGGCGTCAATTCACCTCATACTTTCCATTATAGCACATTTGGACTTGGAATTTTACCAAATGGATGTTAAGACAGTGTTCCTTGATGGGAATCTAGAGGATGAGATATATATGGAGCAACTAAAGGGCTATGAGATCCATGGACAAGGACATAAGGTCTGTAAGTTTGCCAAGTCCATTTATGGAGTGAAACAATCCTCCTGGACATGAAATTTCATAAAGTTGTGAGCACATATGCTTTTCAATGATTGAGCATGACTGTTGTGTGTACGTCAAATGCTAT